TTTTTTTTTTTTTAAGTAGAGTTATAGACAGAGAGACAGAGAAAGGTCTTCCTTTCATTGGTTCACCCCCCATATGGCTGCCATGAAGTCAGGCCGATCCAAAGCCAGGAGCCAGATGTCCCCTCCTGGTCGCCCACGCGGGTGCAGGGCTCAAGCACTTGGGCCATCCTCCACTGCCTTCCCAGGCCACAGCAGAGAGCTGGACTGCAAGAGCAACAACCCGGGCTAGAACCCAGCGCCCATTTGGGATGTGGGCACCGCAGGCAGAGGATTAACCAAGTGAGCCACGGCGCTGGCCCCCCTCCCTAGGTTTTTAAGGGAGTCTGTTTATTCACCTCCCCCTCTCCTCCAGGACAAAGGATGGGGCGTCCTGGTGGAAGGGTTTGTTGGGTGAAAATTAGCGAATTCCTTGCCAGATTTGCTTGCACTCCTGGACAAAGCAGAGGGGCTTCCCTTAGGGACTCTGTGAAGGTTTTATTGCTTGCCCCATGTTATCAGGTAACCCATTTGGTCCTGAGGAGGGAATTCTGGGAGCTTTCCTTGGGGGAAGGTCTGGGACCACCTGGGAGGTCCTCAGGGTCTGGGCAGGACTCTGAAGTGCAGGATGCTGGGCTTCTGGAGCTTCGGCAGTAGGTGCTGGTCTTCAGGCCTTTCTCATACACACATAGGCTCAATTTCTGACTTCCTACCCAACAGTTCCTCACAGGTATTCTTAGGTGGGCAGGTTGTGCCAGAGCTTCCCCTCCAGCTGTGCTGACAGCTGGTACCACCGTTCCCCCTCCACAACCCTGGCCCCACAAGCAAGCACAGGGAGATCCTGTGTTTGAACGGTCTTCCAGCCTGTTTCTGTATCTTTATGTTAAAAATACCACTTAGCTGCTCACACTGCATTGCAAATCACTTTTTAAAAATATTTTTTTGGGGGGAGGAATGAGCAGTTAGCCTAGTTTTGAGATGCCTCCCACTGGAGTGCCTGGGTTTGGTTCCCAGCTCAGGCACCGACTCCAGCAGCCATGGCTCAAGTAACTGGGGTCCTGCCACCTGCGTGGGAAATCTGAATTGATTTCCAGGTTCCGGCTCTGGCCCAAGGCCGTTCCCAGCCACTGCAGATAGTCCAGGAGTGAATGGTGTGTGGGGGTGGTGGGGCGGGAGGGAGCTGTTTCTGTGCCTCTGATAAAAAACTTTTATTTTTTTATTTTTTGACAGGCAGAGTGGACAGTGAGAGAGAGAGAAAGAGAGAGAGAGAAAGGTTTCTTTTGCCGTTGATTCACCCTCCAATGGCCACCGCGGCCGGCGCGCTGTGGCTGGCGCACCGCGCTGATCCGAAGGCAGGAGCCAGGTGCTTCTCCTGGTCTCCCATGCGGTGCAGGGCCCAAGCATTTGGGCCATCCTCCACTGCACTTCCCTGGCCACAGCAGAGAGCTGGCCTGGAAGAGGGGCAACCGGGACAGAATCCAGCGCCCCGACCGGGACTAGAACCCGGTGTGCCGGCGCCGCAAGGCAGAGGATTAGCCTAGTGAGCTGCGGCGCCGGCCCTGATAAAAAACTTTTAAAATAGTTTGTCATTTCTGTTAGGCCGTCACAAAACACACCAAACACCAGAGTAAGGGAAAGTGTTTATTGGGGAAAACCCAGCAGACCGGAGGGGTGGGGCGAAAAAGGGAAAAAAGGGCCACGTGTCTGGGAAGGGGGCCTAATGTACCTTTTCCAGGGGGCGGGCAGGGAAGCAGGAATAGCCAATCCCATTAGGTTGGGGTAGAGCTTGGCATCAGTGGTAGGATGCAAATCAGGGTGCAGATGCTGCCATAGATAAGACTGCCATTTTCCTAACAATTTCTACAATTGTTAAACCTTATTTTAAGATACAAGAACTTTACCTTACATTTATCAGTTCACACATCAGTCTTTTGTAATTTTATCATAGTTGTAGCCTTTGGTATTCAAAGCTGGAGCAAGGTTGAGTTCCAAGGCCCCCTCAAAGGCCCAGATGCACTTTAGTAAGCTGTGCCTCTGGTTATATGGATACAAGTACAAACAACTCAGATATGCAGAAAAGAGATATTTGCGGCAACACAGCAAATGTAAGTGCGTCTTTTTTTAAACTGGGACTGAGACAACAGCATTTACCCACATTTGGTTTTCAGGCACAAGCCTCAGCGGTAGCGATACAGCAGTTCTGTGGAGCCGCATGCTTTTTCCATACCAACTATTGGCAATAAACACATTCTGATCAACTCTTCTAGAAAACGGAATTACCTTTCTGTTCTCTATAGAAAATGTTACAAAATAAGGAGACAATCAAATAATACACAGTAATGTAGCAAAAACATTTTTAGAGGTATGTCAAGCAGAGAATTAAAATACTGTCTTCGGGATTTGTGATATTTGTCAGTGTGCAGCTAAAGGGCTAACTGTGAAGGCTCAGCTTGCTCAAGCTCTGCGAATTCCAAAGACAGGACTGGCACCTGATGGCTCTGGGAGAGAACCTCCGAGTCCTTACAGGGCTGTGGAACCTTTTTTTTCTGCCAAGGGCCATCTGGATATTTACATCACTCAGGGGCCACACAAAATTATCACTGTAAAACTGGCCTGCTGTAGACTTAGTGAATTTCAAGTCCCGCCTGCAGCTGCCTTGGCAGAACCAAACCAAATGATTTCATGGGACTTATGCTACCCATGGGCTGGACACTGCCTACCCCTGATTTAAAGTAATAAACAGTTAATTCAAAACACTGTGTATAAACGTGGATTTTGGGACTGGCATTGTGGAGCTGGCATCCCATGTTAAGCTCCAGCTCAGGTCCCAGCTGCTCCACTTCCAATCCAGCTTCCTGCTGATGCACCTGGGAAAGCAGTGAGGGCAGCCCCACCACTTGGGGCCCTGCCACCCACAAGGGAGACCTGCATGGAGTTCCAGCTTTTGGCTTCAACTGGCCCAGCTCTGTTCTTTACAGCCATTTGGGGAGCGAACCAGCAGATGAAAGATTTCTTGGTGTCTCTTCCACTAACTCTGCCTAATAAATATTTTAAATATATGAATTTTTTAAAGATTTATTCATTTATTTGAAAGTCAGAATTACACAGAGAGGAGATGCAGAGAGAGGTCTTCCATCCACTGGTTCACTCCCCAGTTGGTTGCAATGACCGGAGCTTCGCTGATCCAAAGCCAGGAGCCAGGAGCTTCTTTCCAGGTCTCCCACACGGGTGCAGGGGCCCAAGGACTTGGGCCATCTTCTACCACTTTCCCAAGCCACAGCAGAGAGCTGGATCGGAAGAGGAGCAGCCGGGAATAGAACCGGTGCCCATATGGGATGCTGGCGCTTCAGGCCAGGGTGTTAACCTGCTGCACCAGTGCCAGCTCCGAATATATGAATTTTTAAAAACGAGGCAAACAATTACATACCCAACATCAAAGCTGAGAGAACTGTTCATTCCCCGAATGGCAGCAATAGCCAGGGCTGGGCCAGGCTGAAACTAGGAGCCCAGAACTAGAACTCTGGATCTCCCACCTGGGTAGCAGGGACCCAAGCATTTGGGCCATCTCCCACTGCTTTCCAAGGAACATTTGCAGGAAGCTAGATCAGAAGTGGAGTAGTCAGGATGGGAACTGGTGCTCTGATATGGGATGCTAGTATCCCAAGTGGACGCTTTACCTGCTATGCTGCAACACTGGCCTCTTCTTAATAACCACCCCCTTTGGGGCCGGTGCTGCGGCACAGAGGGTTAATGCCCTGGCCTGAGGCGCAGGCATCCCATATGGGTACCAGTTCTAGTCCCAGATGCTCCACTTCCAATCAAGCACTCTACTATGGCCCGGGTCCTTGGGTCCCTACACCCACGAGAAACTCCTGGCTTCTGACTTTGGATCAGCACAGCTATGGCCAATGTAGCCAACTGGGGAGAGGATGGAAGACCTTTCTCTCTCTGCCCCTCCTTTCAAATAAATAAATCTTTAAAAATTGGCATTAAAAAAAAAACCCACCCCCATAGTTTTATTTTACAGATGTTATCAACTTTATATACATCCTTCTGTGAAACTACTGGGTTATAAAGCATGCTTGAGGTATAAATTTACTAGGCGGATTAGTCAGGGTTTTTCACAGTATCCATAAGGTATGTGCTGTGTTCATGTGTGTGTGTGTATACGTATATACATACACATAAAGATGGATTAGGGCAACTGGCTCACACGATTATGGCAGCTGAGGAAGTCCTGCAACAGGTCTGCAGGCTGAAGACCCCACAATGCCAGTCAGGTGGCTCAGTCCAATTTTGAGGGTGTCAGAACCAGGGAAGCTGCAGGTGCAACTTCTAAGTCTGTAGCTGAAAGCCTGGGTGCAGGCAGGGGGCCACAGGCCCAAGTTCTGGCGTCCAAGGCATGAGTTGGGAGTCCTGGCTCTCAGAGCTCAGCTCTCCAGTCCCCAGCCAATGGATGGAGCCCGTCCAAATCAAGGTCAGGACTTACTGCGCAGTCCACAGAGACTCACGTATCTTGTTTGGAAACATCCCCACCCCCCAACACACACCCCCAAAATAATGCCTCCCCAGGCTTTTACGACATTCCTTAATCAAGTTGACACTGAAAATGATCACACCACAGAAGGCTGCACTTTCCCCACACAGATGTCCTCATTCTCCCACAGTAAATCGAAGTTCCCTTTGTCAGCACTTCCCTCAAACTTCAACTGAGTGCACAGTGACCGAACTCTACTAACGGCCAGTATGGTACATCCTGTATCACACCACTCACACACACAAGTGTGCAAACATCCTTTTACATGTTGACAGTGGTCTTCAGTGCTTTGTCAACTGCCTGTGCCCACTTTTCTCCCACTTAATATTTTACAGTGTTTAGCAATTCCCAGGAACATCTCGTGTTTTCTGATTCTAGGAGTTGGTACTATGAATGTGGCAAATATCTCAATACGTAGTTTGTCTTTTCACTCTATCGTTGGATGAACCCTTCTTTACTAACATCCTAAGATAGCTTTGTCAGGTTAAGAAAATTTATTAGCATTCCAGTTAAAAAATGCTGAATTCTGTCAACTGCTTTTTCCCCCTTGCATCTATTACGATAATTGTATGATTTTGCTCCTTTAATCTGTTCATGGAATGTATTACAATGACTATTTTTCTTATGTTAAGCCATGATTGAATTCTCAAGATAAATTCAACTAATTCATGACTTGTTACCCTTCTGAATACTTCCGATTCACATTGCAAATTAAAATTCTCAAAATAGGGTACCTGTACTTGGTGTGTAAGATGTCACTTGGGATGCCTGCCTCCCGTGTCAGAGTGCCTGGGTTTGAGTCCTGGCTGATTCCAGTTTCAGTTTCCTGCTAATACATCAATTGGGAGGCAGATGATGGCTCATATACTTGGGTCCCTGACGCCCACCTGGGGGACTCGGGATAGAGTTGCAGGATCCTGCCTGATGCAGGTATTTAGGGTACCGATCAATGGGTTTTAAGATCTTTCAAATAAAATGAGAAAATTAAAATATAGTATTCACGAGTGGTAACAGCTTCATTTCCTTTTTCATGCTATCCTGGTAAGTGCAGTCAAGGTTAAGTGAGTAGGGAGTATTTCTGCCTTTTTCATGCTCAGGTGCGGTTTGTGTTAAGATTGAAGTTAATTTTTTGAGTTTTTGGTTAACTCACTGGGTTTTCACTGTGGGAAGTTATCCACTGAGGTTTTTAAAATAATTTTAAAACAATTCAGATTTTCAATTTCTCCTAGAGGCAATTTTCAGTAAATTACATTTCCCTATTACTGTTCAAATTACAATTTCAAATTTACTGCCACAGACTTGGACCCAATCTGTGTTTGTTTAAATAGTTTTAAATGCAGTTATCTGTACACTTCCGATCATCCTGAACTTTCCCTACTTGCTCTCTTCTATCTGCTTTTCCCATTATCTTGCCCAAGAGCACAGGATAAAAACACTTCAACAGCATAACACTGGATTCACCAGTCCCGCGTTGCCTTATTTCCCCAGCTTTTAGAAGATACGAGGAGCTGATGTACAGACAAGATGAGGCAGCCGACCACAAGGTGAAACCTGAGGACTTGGAGGACATGGCTTTCAGTTCCACAGAAGTCACAGGAATGGAGGGCAAGATCAAGGCTAATGAGTAGCTGACAGATGAGCGGGTTCAGAAAGTGGTCTGAGCATGTGTGTGGAGGAGGTGGGACACCCTTAGCTGCTTTTCCCTTCCTTTTATTGATGTGCATTGAAAGACACTGTATGTCTGCTTTTCAATGGCTGCAGCATTTCCAGTCATGTCTCTTAATACAGATATTTAATACTTGTTTCTTCTTTTTCTTGATCAGTTTCACCAGCTTGCTGATTTTATTAGTCTTTTCAAAAAAGCACCTTCAAATATCAGTCTATTTCTTTTTATTTTTCCCCTTTTCAAAAACATGCATAATGGTACTCTTATTGAAGATCTGTCTCGTCCACTTTCAGCTTTTAGGACAAACACCTGTGTCTAAAAAGTCCCTCTAACACTCTAGTTGCATCCCAGAAGTTTGGATGTATCACATTCTCATTGTCATTCAATGCTAAATATGCTCCAAATTTCCAGTACATTTTCTTGAACTCATGATCTAGAAATAGGTTTCGGAAGTTCCACATGTGGGATTTCTCAAATGCTGTTATCACTGAATTTTAGATTAACCGCATTGTGGTCAGAAAACATATTTCTGTATTTCCACCTTTTGAAATTTATAGCCTAGTATTGTGAAATGTCCCACTTGTACTCAACAATAATCACATACTGAGTTGTTCAACACAGTGGTCTATATGTTCATTAAATCATGTTGTTCAATTCTTTTCTTCTCATTTTAAAAGATTCTCACCTTTTCATAATGTAGAGCACAGAGTGGGTCAATTGGCTGGAAATGCCACTAACCAAGCAGGATTACAGACCCATGATTACATTTCCAGAGCAGACAGAAGGGAGTTAAAGTGGACAAAGTACGTTTTCACAATAACCAGAGAACAGAATCAGCCGTGTCACATGCAGCACACAGTGAAGCTAATAAAAATCAAGTCTGAGAGACTTGGCAATTATGAGCACATTTTGAATTCAGCAAAAATTTCAGGAGTGACAGCAGCTGAGATTCCAGCATGTCAGCTACTGCCAGAATCTTCAAGATGTTATCACTGCCACCCATGTGTTTCATCAACATGAAAAAAATCTCAACCCTGCATAAATCTAGCGACTGACCTCTTCCACAACTATGGCCTTGACAGTACAGGGAAATGACATCAAATACGCTGATGCCACTCTTAGTATGGTATCCAACCCACTCACTGTTAGTCCATTCTTCAATTCTTTAGGACCACGATGTTAAGCTGTTTTGTACCTCTATCCCTATTCCTTTCCACTTCTGGAAGCAGCTACATCACTTGGTTCTCAAAGACCGGAAACCATCAGGTGAAATCTCAACTCTTTGCCATTCAAAAAAGACATACATGCCTGTATCTCTGCCCATCCTCGGATCTGGACCCAAAGTTCCTCCTCCTCATGAGGAACCTGGAGTCTGTTTTCCACTGCTTTTAACAGAAGGCCTGAGGCTGGGCTTATCTGGGTCACATGTTGGCGTTTTCAACAGGCAGCCCCCTTGATTCAGCCTCTGGTGAAAGGCTCACGGTGGGAACACAGGCAGAAGAGGTCTTGGGCAGACTACAGAGGGGCTGGGCTCGCTCTTGAAGAAAAACACTGTTCCGAGAACTAACCAAGGTCCTCTGAGTACTCATTAATCCCTTCTGAGGATGACATCGATGGCCCAAGTACTTCCCACTGCACCGCACCTCTAAGGGTCCCATGTTCTCACATTACCACACAGGGACACAAGCATCCAATCCATGAACCTGGCTGACTACACCACAGCCAAACCATGGGCAGGAAATCTGGTGTACCAAGGATCTTGGTCACCCCTTCTCTCTCTGCTGATTCCATGAGACTCGTGGCTCCTACACCTTGACAAAAAGCGCACAATGCCCTCAGTCACATACACTTTTTTTTTTTTTTTTTTTTTTTTTTTTGACAGGCAGAGCTAGACAGTGAGGGAAAGAGACAAAGGTCTTTCTTCCGTTGGTTCACCCCACAAATGGCTGCTATGGCTGGTGCCGCACTGATCCAAAGCCAGGAGCCAGGTGCTTCTTCCTGGTCTCCCATGCAGGTGCAGGGGCCCAAGGATTTGGGCCATCCTCCACTCCCCTCCAGGGCCACAGCAGAGAGCTGGACTGGAAGAGGAGCAACTGGGACAGAATCTGGTGCCCCAACCAGGACTATAACCCAGGGTGCCGGCGCTGCAGGTGGAGGATTAGCCTAGTGAGCCACGGCGCTGGCCACAACCACATACACTTCTACCACCACAGCCTTACCCTTCATCACAGCCAGTTTCTCAGAGTCTATATTTGCCTATTGTATTTAAAAAAAAACCCACCCTGCTCCAACCTTAATTTACCTTCTTCACTCCACTAAAATTGCTCTTGATGAAATGACTAGGTAGAGCCCAGCTGAGAAAGCCAAAGGAAGACAAATTATCCTGAAATGTATATTCACTTCTTCCCTGCATTTTAATGGGATACATCTTACAATCAAGGATTAAAAGCATTGAGTCATAGTTGAATCAAGTTTAATTTCCCTTTGTTCACATAAATATTATATAACCAGGTAACTTAGCTTCAAGTAGGATGCTTTTGAAATTGAGGTTTTAAAATGAAATGTTTGTGCTGTATCGGCTTTCAACTCCAGGGATCGCTCTTCTTGAAATACTCCACATCCTTTCCCTCTATCTCGGCTGCTTCCTCCCCTTCTCCTTGGTGTGCTTCTCTTCTAATTTTTTTTCACTCGCCAGTGCCTCTGGATGAATTCATACCCTTTCACGGCCTCAGAACTGCCACTCACATGCTGGAGGATATGCCCTTAGCTCATGTAACAATACATGGGCACAACTTAGAGACAGCAAAAACCGATTCTTGCTTTCTGTTCAAAAGCACTGAGTCCAACAACGATTTGGGTCAGCTGGCTGGCCTTAAGAGACTGGCAATGCTAAATTATGTTTACAACTACAATTATGCTGTATAACGTGGTGTGGTACACCTGATCCAGATGAAGTGCTTCTCAGTACATAATCTAGAGGTTACACACATAACATCCCCAGCCTTACATACATACAGTAGGCCGGGCCTACAAGGGGTCACTTAAGACTTCCAGGTTTAACACAACACATGCACTGCCTGTGTGATCTTTGCCCTTATAGGCTGCCGGGAGTCTAGAAGGTCAGTGTATGCCTTCCTCCTAATTTCCTGGCACCCATCACTTCTATCAACTACCCCAAACATGCTTTCCTCTCTTGGTGAATGCCTGCTGCTTAGGTGCTACATTTTCCATGGATATTACATTTCCAGTCAACAAAAATCAAACGCAAGCAGTTATCCATCACTGCCTCATTTGTTCAAATATTTATTGAGCACCTACTATGCACCACACACCTATTAGGATCTGGGATGCAAGTAAAGATCACGTATTAGCCCTGCCCTCATGGAGCTTACAATCTAGTAGGGAACACACACAACACAGTAAGCCAATACATAAAATATTAAGGTTGTGAAAGATGCCATATGGGATATAAACAGGGTAATGTGATGGAGGCTGGGAACACCCACTTTCGATAGAACGATCAGGGAGGGCCACTCTAAGTTTGAAGCCTGACATGCTAATTCAAAGTGCAAACTCTCAGGCAAATCCCTACCCTCTCAGTAAAAGGGAACTAATCACAGCAAACTCAACTGGTCACTACTGTTAATGATCATGAGAACTCATGCTTTGTTTCATATGGGCCTTGCAATCTATTTCTGCGTATTTCTCTCAACAGCCCTTCAGAAACTTCCAGCTACCCCGAACATTTTCATTACTTTTGCCATTTTTAATCAACCTTCCTGTTTCTATTTGTATGTTATTTCCATCAAATAAATTGCCTTATCTATGTGCTCTAACAGCACTCTGCGTTTCACCTTTTACCATTGAAATCGTAATTTTCCCATTTCACTCCTCTGTACATACAACTCTGATGAGAGTAGGTACCTGTCTTGTGTTCCAAGTCTCTGCCATAATGCCTACCACAACTGCAAGCCAAGAAAAAAAAAAAGGCAAAAAGATGAAAGACATGGAGGAAGAAAGTTTGATGAAAAGAAGATTCTGAAAATGACAGAAGACAAAAGTCAAGGGCCTGTGGAGTTTAACTGGCCTTAAAGGCCCACCTCATTCCCCGTGGCTTGGTGTGGTGAAATGGTGCAACTGAACGACACAGCAAGGTCATCTCCTGAGAAGCGTCTGGTTGGACAAGGCCAGTGTTGACACTCGTTATGACTGATGAGAACAGGCACACGGCAGGCCCACTCTGAAGGGAGTGGGGAGGACTGACACTACTGAGAGTGGAGCAGTCCACACTGGTCGAGCAGTGAAAACACACAGTGAGGGTAAACAAGCAGCAGGGGAACTCTACAGGCTCAGTGGAAAAAATGTTAGAGGTCAAACCACCAAAAACCTTACAAGCTCTAGACTGTTAGTAATCCAAAAGAATGCTGGAGACAAAATGATAGGATTGGAGGCGGCTAAGAACACTGCGATTCAGGAAGCGAAGCCTTCAGCAATGCAAAGCGAATGACAAGGTGGTTCCCCGTGAACAGGGGAGCTAAAAGGATAACTTCACGGCATGGCCTTTGAAAGCACAGAATTTTGAAGCATTACAACAGACTGCAGAGATGGCAGAGCTAAGGATTCAGCCAAATTTGTGAGAGCAAGAAAGTGAAGAGAAAATGCAAAAGAAAGGTTGACGCAACCAAGCATGGTCCACAAAGGACGGATCGGACAGACAACTGGGGGTAGCTAAAATAGGCACGAAATGAAGCGACGGTGGAAGTGGGTGACAAAGGAGATTTGTACTTGTTGAAAAACATCACAGAAAGACCAGGCACAAATCTCATGGATGCTTCTTCTCATGCTTAGTATCAAACTCATCACTGTCTCTTCTAAATGACTCATCTCCATCCTGTCCCTTGTCTTAGGAAATAGCACCATCATCCTCCAAGTTATAAAAGGATAGGGAGAGAATAGCACCATCATCCCCCAGGCTTGAGAAATGAATTTAGCCCTTATTCCTACTTCTATTTAGTCACTGAATCTTGAGTCTTCCTTTGCAAAGGCCCCAGTACCCATTCCATCCTTATTACACAGCCATCATCTGAATCCAGTTCTCCCAATTTTTTGTCAAGATTCTTATATCCATCTCCCAAACAGCAAAGCTAACTAACACCACTTCTGTTTAGTCAGAGGACTTTATGGATCCGCTGAAGTCAGATTCCCACCATTCATTCACTGGGACTTTGGGAGACTTACCTAAATGTGTCTTCATTTGTGAACACCCTTTCCTTTAATTAGCTGTTGCAAAGAATGAAATATTCTTGGGACATTTTCAACAGAGTACTTGATACTACAAAAGAATTCTCAGTTTTTGAAAACTTCATTATAACCCTTTAATCCTGAGATTAGGTCTTTTACATGACTGCATCTCACATACTGAGTATTTTGAAGAAGGCCAAGTAAGAAGCCCAACCTACTTTATAACACTACAACATTCTTCACTCAAGTGAAGACTTAAGTTTCAAGAATATGAAGTAAAAGCAGCTCTAAACGCTACTCAGAAGGGTGGGGTGGGGGGAGGCTTGGGTAATGAACGTGTCGTGTCAACCAAGAAAACATGGAGTCTTGGCCATCCGAAGACGGTGATGATTGTCCTTTCCCCACAAGTGCCCTTAGAACAGTCAGGAGTGAGACTTGATTGGCAACATAAAATAAAATACAAAGTAAAACAAGCCCTGCTTTTTCTTTGAGCCTTACCACTTTTCCAGTTTGGGGTGGACTGCCTTTGGCTCAGTAGATCTTACTGTCTTTTGGGGGAGCTCAGGCCAAAATGGAGCCTACAAAAAGAGGAAAAAGAGCTGGCTACTAAGAGCTGGCCCTAGGCACAAAACATTTTTAAAAAATGGTGACATCACTTTTGAGCTAAAATTGGAAAATGTAGTCAGACAGAAAATTTGTGCTACTTCACAGTGCAAATAAACCCATGTGAAAAATCAGTTGAACAGCCACCTGCAGGTGTTTCTGGTACACGCCAGATAGACATATTGAAAGCTGATAAAGTCTGGGAAATCTCTGCCCAGTATCTTCAAGTGGGTTCTTCCAGTTCATCTGGGTCAGAGGGCAAAGGATCTCAGTGCAGATGCTGGCATGGAGATAAAACGGGTATTCTTGGAAACTAACTACACACTGAACACTCTTTCTCATTTCAATTCACTGGAGCATAAATTAGCAAAACACACTGGAAAGGTAGGATGAACCAAAAACCACAAAATCATTCACATCCTAGACCCAGAGGGTCTGCTTCTAGGAATTTATCTTTAAAGAAGTAACTTATGACCAAGATATTCGCTGAAGTATTATGAGATGCAATCTATAATGTCTCATGAGGAAATGTCCCACAAATCACAGTACATCCACACAATGGAATAGCATGTAATTAATCATGGTTGAGTTTTTAGTGACACGGAATAATGCCTATAGATTGAGGGAAAAAAATCAACATACAAATTATCCTAAGGATAAATGAAACTATAAAAACATACACAAATAGCAAAGAGACTGGCAAGAGATACACAAAAATATGAGAAGCAAAGCCTTTTCTCCTGCTCTGTTGTTAGAATTACAGGCAATTCTTATTTCTCTTTATACTTTTCTGTATTGTCTAATTTTCCATAATGAGCACACACAACTGGCAAACAAAAGAAACAAAACCATTACTTAACCAGGCAAGCATTCAAGATGAATAGGCATTTTTATATGGCTTTACCTGTAGTGTGATTCCTAACCAAGAAAATAAAAAGATGGTGGTGGGCAATTAAGCCAATCATTATTAGACCGTAGCATCAAACTCTTAAAAACAAGGAAATTTCTGAGTGCTTTTGCACAAATCTCACCCAATGCATGTAGAACCGCAGCAAAACGATGGTGACTCACACTCCAAGCTCCCAAACCACAAGGACCCAGGACCACTAAAGCAATGCCTGACTCAAGGGTACATGGTGTAATGCTTTACATTTTCTATGATGGAAAGAACTGGGAAGCCATCACAACATTCCAGAGAAAGGGAGACAAACTTACTGGGGAAAAAAGTGTTCTCTAGAACTAGAACAAAACAGTTAAGTGTTATGTGTGTCTGTTGAAACCTACTGGAAGCTAGAGAGAAATGAAAGGCATACTTGGTAATTCAAGGCTTTGTACAATAAAAAATGGATTACTTAATAAAAAAACACACAAATGTGATGAATATACTCTACTGGCAGAAAGACAACTTGCTTACTAAATACGGAGGCAGAAGGGTCTGAATATCCAAATCAGAGTAGGCTCTGTTCAACACTACTGCACTGAAAATCCAACACTTGCTATTTCTTTCAATTCCTCAAGACTACCCTAAGGGAAACTTGTTTTATACAAAGAGACCAAGTGTTACAGACCTACTTAATTACCCCACTCTCTCTTACACATGCATTGTTGCTTTCATTCTAGCTCTACTGGAACACAGTTCAGATGTCACATAATCTAAATTCCCTCTGTTTCATTTGGTCTTTATAATTATCCTAGGACTGATGCCAAGTATTTATAACTCTGGCCAGAAATGGAAATAAAACCCTGCAGTGGCTCATCTAGGGATCAGAAGTCAATGAGCATAAGCAGATCTTAAATGTAGATTATACTCAGCATCAATTATATTGCCAGGCTTCACCAAGGCAAGAAAGCCGTTAATATTTCTAAGAAAGATCAAAATGGTTGGTGAAAAAATTTCAGGACAGTAGTAACTGTTCCTTTCCTTCAACAAGATATCCCAGTTTCTGGCTGGCTGACATCCCAGTAACAGTGAACACAACCCCTTTATCCCACTATTCTCAGTTAAGCAAAAATTTGGGCAAGACACACTGCTGAAAAGGCAGGTCTTGGTAAAAATAGTGAACATCCTAAACAAAAGATAACTGCCTGATCAAGATGTCTCCACAAAGCCAAAGGCATTAAAATGTTTTCACCACCTTTAAGCTACATTCATGTTACAAGCCTCAACTTTAAAACTTACAAGTGTATTCTTAAAAGTGTCAGTAACCTGTATAAGTTTTATAAGTAATTTCAGTGTAAAGTATCATGAATGAACACCAAACTGTTTACATAAAATATTGAAAGAGAAGCTGATCACAAGTACAGAAACAGAGCAGTATCAGTTACAAGAATCAAGTCAGCAAACTAATTTCTATTAATATTTTCATTTACTTTATAAAACAGTTGGGTAAATTGCAAGGAATCTATGATAATCTTAAGGGTAACAAAATGATAACAAATATGCATCATTTCTTTATTAACAAATTATACTACACAAATCAGGTTACTTTTTCTGATTACAGAGTTAAGAGAAATTGCATCTATATTAAGAGCAGCAACATAAAACTTTAATGGAAAGAAATTTCATTATTTAGATATAAAGATTTTACACAGCATGGATTGGAAATCAATGACTAAAGAGCTAAGAGTGGAAACTATGGTGCAGCTACTCTGGGAGATTCATGGTAGTTTTGTTTTCCTCGTGTCTTTAATTCAACAACAGCCTTCCCATATGCACAGTATTCTAGGTGAAGGGATACCACAGACAAAGGATGATGTAGAAAACCACAAGAACTTAGAAAGGTACAAGTAGAGCACACACAGTCAGGATATTTTGAGAAGGTGTAAAAACACGAGGAAGGGACAAGTCAGCTCCCTGGAGTTACATCAACTCTGAAGTAATGTGTCCCTATTCTAACTAAAATTGGAGTACTTTTGTTTGAGAAATCAATTTCTTGATTGGTCATTTCATAAAGGGTTGTTTTTATAGTAGCCACAAACTTAGGGAGAGAAAGCTGAATATCAGGACTAAATCCTTGAGTACTCAAAACTGGCTCAGAAGCCAAACGAAGCACAAATGGAAATGTTCCTCCAGCAGTAGACTTATTTTCTGAGCGATTTAAAACCAAACGCACCATAGGAGAGTGGTTTGCAAAACGCACCTGATAAAACCCCAGGGGTTGGGGTGTTGGGGGGCAGCTCATGGCATGAGATGTGCAGTGGGGTCTTCCTCCCCAATCTTCACTTCAGTTCAAGTATTTCTAATTTTGTCTTTTGTGGCTTGAGGAAAGATTTCCTTTTACAAAAGGAAAAAGAAATCTGATACTGTCCTCACTCCCTTGGTACGAATCTTTCCCCTAAGTTTCAAATCATTGGTGAGGATGAGAGTATGATGAGAAGTATGATGAGATGTAAAACCTAATTTTTAATGTCAGTATTACTAAAACATGAAGTTTCAGCAAAGATTTGTATACGATTTTATAAAGTAAGTCAGCAAATTAAGTTCTTAGGAAGAAACTGAACTGTGTTATTCCTATCTCCCTTAATCGTGTTCTACTACCACTGCCTCCAATCAATCAACATTTCTGGACAGTGTGGACAAAATCCTCATGAACACTCCAGCCGTACCTTACCTCAAAAACATCACTCAACAGCTGCATGGAATTCCTTGAGAAAACTTTAGAATGAGAATGTACAGTTATCTGCACGTCAGTGCAGAATCTGCATTGTGTTCTTAACATGACCACTAACAAAGAACAGCCAAATCCCAGAACTCCCCTGTACACTCATTAACACACCAAGTCAAAGCGCGAATAGCCACCAGGGAAAGCCGCGTAACACACAGGCCATTTGTCTTTGATGAGATGGCGAAGAAAAGTAGAACTGCAAGAAGAAAAGTGCAACTCAAGCTTCAGCCACTTATTGAAACTTCATCACTCCAACAGAACAGAACAGATCTCCATGGAAAGGACTCATTCAGCGGACATGACTTCTTTCTATGTAATTTTTTTCCTTCACATCAAACAGAAGTTGCTGTCATTCAAGAATCAGTGATTACATCTTTTTATAATTAGAAAAGTTTACTTAAATATTTACATAATTTTTATTGCTGTTTTTTATAACAAAAAAATTTTGAATTCATTTGTAGAATCCATCCAGTAATGTATGAAATTGAAATCCACCACTCAAGAAGATACAGTTACGGCTGAATGTATCTGAAGTTCAGAACAAGTACAGCACGAGTAAGAAAAATCCTTGAATGTCATTCAGTTCTTGCTGCGGTCATCTGTGTTCATCTCTTAGAAAGCAAAAGATTCCATTCGACATTTCAATAAATATCAAAGTAATTGCCAAAAAAAAAAAAAAAATAGCTTCCACGGAAGAAAGAGCAGTTTTGATGAATGATTCCCAGAATCAAGTGAGTTCTCCTTTAGTCCAATGAGATGATATCGGGAATGTTACTTCCACTGCTGGTTATGACCCCTGTCTCACTCCTGCTGCTGGATGAACTAACATGAGTACTGCTTTCATGGGGGCTGCTGGTGGTGACAGACGTACTGCTTGCTGTTAAGGGTGAGGTGAGACTATCCAAAAACATAGGAGGACAGTACTGCTTGAAACAAACAATGACGCCGATGAGGAAAAGGCTACACTGATTTTAATAAAGAAACTAAATTGTTAGATATGCGCAAGTGACAGTTACATATTAAATCCCACCCACTGGGATTTAAAAATATCTCAAAACTTCACACCTTTGGGTGAAAGGTGCATGAATTTACTTAGCTATTTTACAATACTTGGTGAAGCAACATATTAGTGATTCAAAACGTGTACAACTTGTTTATCATTTACATAGGTACAAGCACAGATGATGATGCCGAAAATGACTGAATAAACACCGAATATCACCCCAACTGTGACTCATACTTACTCTCAAAAATAATTCTCACTACGTGCATTAAGACAGTTTAAATCAGACTGTAAAAGGCTAACATTTACTATTCACTGTTATTAAGCAAAAATACTAATGCAAGCTTCAACCAATCTTCGAGACTGATTAGCAAACAGAGCCTTAGAGTTAAGCTAGTCTCCTTTGTACATACAGGTGTCCGTACAGTTACTGGAGTAGTTAAAATGACAGCATGCATTCTAAAATAGAGACTCGTAGTACTTAACTACCACAGGACGCTCAGAGAATGATCTCATGGTATCACAAAAACTTGGGAATGAATTGTGAAGGAGACCTAACCTAATCTTCCCCATGATGCTTGCTTGATAGCCTTCTCCAAGGGTTCAGATTTCAACCACATCTGACCACTCTGACTAGCAATTCCAAAACAAATACAAATCTGAGTGTCATGTTCTAATGCTGCCCAAGAGCAGAGAGAGGCAAAAGCTAATAGCATGGAGTATTTTATGTGGGAAACAACTACACTGTCTTCAATAAAGTGAGGTCTAATTACACATTCTAAGAAAGTATGTGCTAAATTTGTCTCTAGTTCAATGTACAAAAGATCAATAAGGATATCTAATATTTCCCATTCTGTCATCTCATTCAGCTTATTAGAGACACTGCATTACAAAGAGGAACTGAAGTTGTTCAGAATACATGATCTTCAAGGCCACACGTAAAATGGTAACAGCCCTATGTTTAAGCTGCCAGGCAGAAGAACAGCAACAAATAACTCAGGCTGCCTTTGAAAAGAACTAAGTTATTTAATATTTTAGATGGGTAATGGTCTTGCTACACACACAAATTCAAGAGACGTCAGTTATGGGGGAAAAGGCTGGTTCATAAAAAGCTTCTATGGCCTGGGAAAGCAGTAGAAGATGGCCCAAGTCCTTGGGCCCCTGCACCCATGTGGGAGACCTGGAAGAAACTCCTGGCTCCTGGCTTCAGACTGGCACAGCTCTGGCCATTGTGGTCAACTGGGGAGTGAACCAGCAGATGGAAGACCTCTCTCTCCCTCCCTCCCTCTCTCTCTCTCTCTCTGCCTCTCCTCTCTCTCTGTTACTCTTTCAAATAAATATACAATCTTAAAAAAAAATTTCCAAGAAGCAGTAAAGACTTCTGAATTGCTGGATGTCCTTCCCAAAACTCAAATCAATTTTAGGAAATTAAGGGAGGATCTGGGTTTGAAAAAGCCCACAAACTTACATGTGTATTCACGCTCCCTCTCAGGCAGTTGAATGCCCCAGGGTAAAAAGATACTCCTTTTCTTTTACACAACGACTGCAAGATGCAACAGCCCAGCTGCCAATGGATTCTGTACCTTGCATTCTTATACTCAGGGGCAGTCAATTCACTTTTATCCCTATATTCCTCACATACATACATACAGTGGGCACTTATCTGCACAAGGATGAAAGGGACTAAGGGATAATAGGGAGATAAAGTAGAAAAACCTAAAGATTCTATGGCAACTAAAGGTACAACTTCGCCTTTCTTCTCCTAACTTATAAGTTAGCTCACCAACTGTCCCAAATAGAGCTATAAAATAAAAATCTCTAGGTTCTAAAATTAAAAACAAAAAAGCATTACTCACACATAAGACTCAGTAGTCTTTTAACCCTGAAGAACCCATTTCTTAGAAAAACAGGTCCCTCTGGCTATAGAATCTACTGATGTTAACAAAGTCAACTGCACACATTACCTTGGTCCTAAATTTCCAGGGCTGTTTGTGGGATCAAGTATAGAGGACTTATACAGGAGGCTGATATGAAATGTGTGGTTAGCTGATGCTGAGCAGCCCTTCAAGAGTGGTTAAGGGTTCTTCCTCTATCCCTCCCTACCTTCAACATCAGCTCTCAAAGTCTCCTTTTTTTAAAACAAAACAAAAAATAAAAGAAACCTAGTTTGTTTTCCCCCTTTCCTTTTTTACCTCTGGCCTGTGCTCTAAGCCTGTCAGGGGAAACCAAGCTCACTGCAATGTCTTCAGCCTGGGGCTCTGGGATACTGGAGTCTTTATCTTTGACAAAAACTACAGGCAGGATTGGGATACATCAATTTTAAAGTGGGGCAGCACCAAAGTCCAAACCTGTCTTTCATAGTAATGCGGAATTAAGGTAATGACTCATGTGTGTTTGATCAGCTTTAGTTACTATTTTCCATGTACAGAATGTTTATATACAAAATGAAAACCTGTCCTGTACAGCTTTTCTCTCCGGCACTGCACTCATTCTAAACACTCAAATGTTTGTAAGGAATGCCAACTTGATTGAGCCCAATAAAATCACAAATGAACGTATTAAGGATGCTATAAACCGGAAAAAAAAAAAAAAGCAACTTTATTTCTCCAAATAAAAGTCTGAATAGTTACTAAATAGTACTTCCTTTCCATCAGTGTAAATAATTGAGTGTTGACTGTCCTGATTTTATGCAACTGGTCATTTTTAGTTAGTATGACATAACCAACAATCAAATACAAATTAGTTGCTTAAATTCAGGATACATACCTGGGGATCAACTGGAATAAGGGAAAGAAAATCCAAACCTAAAACAAAAATGCTTTGTTAATAGTTGTCTCATATTTTGGAGACTAGTATTATTTCCCCAAATCATTTGTATTTATTATAAGTCACAAAACCTTTGTGGTAATTGCTTACCACTCCGCCATAGGGAAGGTTCTGCGTCATAATCAGTAATAGTTAATGTGCATAAAACCCAAAGCTGAACATATTCCTGATAAGACAACTGGAAAAAAAAAACCTCCTCTCAGCAACTCAAGAGGCAGCAGTCCAAAGATTCCCAGAGATTGGTCAAAGCAAATGTCTCCCCTTTGTCACTTAATAGAATGACAGGCAATAAAAATGATGAGATAATGAACTGAATTCAGTCCATTTTTCTTTAAAAAAAGCATACTTAAGACTCTTAAGATACTTCACATTTATTTTTCAGAAATACACATTGAAATTGATCTAAAATATCATTTCTTAAATAGATGACTATGTCGCTGATAGTCTCTGGCCCCCTGCTCCCACACAGTCCAATGCCCTGCACAAAGCAAGTAGCTAGGAGATGCCGCTCGCTAACAGCCAAAGTGAATGAATGGGTACTAGGTTCTAAGCTAATGTAGTCTTCCAAATCAAAGAATTTTCCAATTATGTTTTAGAAAGAGGAATATCAAAACGGCTGCCCAGTCAAGTAATAATAAAAACTTCAAGTCTGAAGCAGTATATTTCAAAGCCAGTTCCCTCAGACCTCCCTGTGTGGCTACACAATTATTTCAAAACACTAAAAAAAAAAAAAAAAAAAAAAAAAAAAAAAAAAATCACATATGAGGTATAGGTCATTAAGAGGCCAATTTCTATTAAACCCATGAATTTTATAAGCTGGAATTCAATGTCACCCCCCCCCCCCGGCTCCAAATCTAACAGCCACACAGAGTGCACATCTGATACCGTGACTCAAAATAGAGTGTAGCAATGGGGATGATATCCAAAATATTTAATATTCAGTATGAATAATCTTAACTCAAAAATTGTGAAGTACCTTTATCCCATTGTAACCTCTGAAAGTATTATAAAACGCTTATCAAGTGATATAAGCTGTAGCACCAATCATGTGAAAGAAAGTCAAACAATTTCTGAAGCATTTGTTAAATTGTTGTCTAATTTCTTGTTTCAGATGTATGTCACCAGTTGTATGATACAGCAGCTTGAGCCAACAACGGATAATGGAATCACAATGAAATCTTCCAATGACATCCCCATTAAATTGAAGACCAGTAAGTGACACAGCTCAGTAGACAGACAGCTTCTCTCTTCACAAATTTTATATTTTTCAGTAAATCTTTCCTTTGCTTCTGTGAACAGTAATTCAAAATCTGTCTAGCTCTTACAAACCTATCGGGAGTTTTATAAATTCAGTGTTTTTACTACAGACTGTCACAAGAAAATCTACTGGAATGTAATCTAATTAATTGGTTTAATTTTATTCAGCTTTAAATGATATTTATCTTCATTTTAATAGCTCCTACTTTTTAGTCAAAATTTTTATGTTCAATAATTTTCAATGTTTATTAACTGAGAATTTATTTTGATAACCAATACCTTATTTTATGAAGTACTGACATCTCTGCTGCAACACTGTATTAAAGTCAAATCTCTCAAAAAATACTCATTTTCGTAACGTCCAATCGCCGCTATTTCATAATTTCACTCCATAGATAGAAAGGCTTGGTATGGTACGCAAACTGTTTTTGCCACCTTGTTACTAAAAAATGCCTATCAAGGTCCCCAAAGTCTTATCTTTTTCATTATCTCAATGTACATCTTTTCAAAACTCCATGTGTGCAGTAAACAGAAAATCGACTTAGAAAGGACTTAAGAGAATTACTAGATAAGAATTCTTACATGCCTCATCCAAGGATAACTAGTATATGGTGACTTACAAAATGCCATAATAAAATACCTAGAAATGTTTTGAAATTTCAGTTGGAAGTTTCAGATTGTTTCCCAAACATTACACAGGCGCTACCTACACAAAATCCTATTAAGGTTTTAGTGTAAATATTTCTCATTGAAACCATTTTTTTCTCAGATACTAACAGTGAAGTTTGATAGTTATTTCAGTTACTTGATATGTTATTTCTTTTAATAAAAAACTAAACTATCAAAGTCTCATTTTTGTATTTTAAGCAATTTTTAAACTTTTATATGAAAGTTTCAACAGTGATTAAAATTATACTGCCTTTTTAAAATAAATGTTAGCAAAATACTATTTTCTTATTTCACTAAAACTTTCAGTTGTAATATGTCATGCTGGTATATGTTTATGCCCTCCTAAGTATTTCATGGCTGAAAATGCTCAATTATTTTTACTCAAAAGTAGGTAATGTTAAAAATTCTGATATATTCTAATTGCTTCTGTTTTATTCACGCTGATAATTATAGTTTTAGATGCTTCGCCACAGGAAACTGATTCATTAGTTTGCTTCCTCGCTGAGGACCATACATTTGACTTGAGTCATAAACTCTGAACAAAACAGGACTGCTACATGATTAAATATGTAAATTTTTAGCACTTTCAAATTTTAATGATACAACTTTTGAGCACCATTCGCACCTGACAATATGGCACTAGCAATAATAAGGCAGTCATATTTTTTCTTGAAATAATCAAGCTGTTTTCCATTCCATAAATACAAATTATTTGTTTTATTTTGTATTCATTGTTGCACAGCATCAGATGTTCCAAGCTGCAGTTCATTATTAATATCATTTCTTCTTTGTTCTCCTGCAGATTCAGAAGATTCATATTTATGATGTTTAAAAGGAATGTTAAGAAATTTATTAAAACTTTGTCATCTCTCCATTCTGATGTTCTATTTAATATTTTAATTATTAAATTTATCACTACCAAAATTCTGCATAGCACAAACTTACTACATAAAATTATATACAAAATAAGACCAAAGTAATAACTACAAAAGAGCACATTAACAATGAAACCACAGTAAAAGCTATTAACTACTTCGATGCTGTAATGCTACTATGTAATTCACAGATGACAACAACTAGCAATCTGCTAAAGCATGCTAGATTCTATTCACAGTTCATTAACTGCTAAGAAAAATTTTCAATATTTTAACAACCAGTCTTACCATATTGGTTTATGTTGGTTAAATATCAGCCCTGGATGTTAGTATTATTTCCTTGATACCACTTGAAGTACATTTTACCATATACACAGTTCAGACATATTTTATTGCATTTTTCTCAAATCTGCACATGTTTAAGACACAAAATCTCATTTTATTCTCAAGTTTTGAAATAATATAAATTCTCCCAAATTAAAAATTTGTCCAGACTCACATAACTTGAAAATTAACAAACCAGGTGATTTGTACATTGTGTCTATGCTATTGCTAAATGGCCAGGATCACTTTAAATAAAGAGAAATGTTCACTGTCTTTTTTTCAGGATTAATTTTTAATTCAAGTAAATCTTTCTGGAGTGCTTGTTTATAAAGCATACTAAGATGACACATGAACACTCAATCAAGGCAAGGTTAAACACGTAACACTTAGAAATCAAGAACTGAGTTTCCATCTTTCATCATGAGCCACGAAACCTCACCTATATCTCAGCATCAGCCTATATAAATGAAATTATAAATGATGCTGCAAGGAACTTTTACAAATACAAATTCCCAAATAAGAAATAACCATATTTAAGAGTCAAATTTTATGAAAAAACTTGTAAAGGATACTATTTTTGGTCTATGCTATTATCTCTCACTAAATTTTATTCCAATAAGCTAAGCAAATATCAAGTGGAAAAATTAATCTGGGACAGATAACACATCAATTGTTCTAATACCATAAATTTTGTCCAACAGAATATATTTAAAAAACGGACCTCACTAAGGGAAGGAAGGAAAATAAACCTTTGGTGAAAATCAACTTCTTAAATCTAGAGAAAAACTCATCATGAGGGAAAGGAATTGTATTCCCCTAAAAGGGCCCTATGAAGAGAGAGAAAACCATGAACATAAGTGACACTGTTCTGACCTGCTCAAATGTGATCAACGAAAAAGTGTGCAAAAACAATGGTTATGGAGAAAGGGAAGAAGAATAAAATTTTATTATACGGCTTTGCTTGCACAAACCTTGGTAACTATGGTAATTCAAGAAACCCTAAAATTTTAAATTGTTAAGTTATTATAAAGATATCCGAGCAGTAAATCACTGTTTGAGGGAAACAGATGGTAGATCCTAACTTTTTTGGGAAAAAGCTGGTAGGCAAGAGTGACCCCAAATGATATAAGTATATTCTAGTTGATGGGCTACCAAGAGCATTAGAAAACACTCTCCCTAACCTGCAAAGCACCTATGAAAAATACTCCAAGAAAAAAATCTGAGTATAAACTCTCCACAAGGAGATTAACTTCATAAAACTCCCCTACACCCTACCAGATTCCCTGTTATCAACAATCTACACATTGCTCTCTAGTTAAGACAAGTAAAACGTGATATTTTAAAGCAGATACTACCTATACATGAAGCCTTCATTCCTCAGTACTTCTATTTAAAAACTTTAAACTATATTTTCTCCATAGATTAACAGCAAACAACAAGATTTGTCAAAGAAAATAAACACTTTCCACATACCTGGCAAATCTGATGACATGCTTGATATTGGCGTGTGGTGGAATGGTACTGAGTAGTCTGTTAATGAAGGCGGAATAGCAGCAGGATCAACCGAAGTCACACTGGGCACCCTTCCAGGTGGCTGATACATGAGAACCCTGTTTTAAACAGCATGGGAAATCACAATCTGGCTGTTAGTCCACAGGAGAGAAGAGCAGCACCATTGGGTGTTCCCAGCTGTACGTTCACTACGTCTCGGCACAACTACAGGACAGTTACACACTACCCAGTACTCTACCCTCCTCTCTTCTTTCTAAAGAGTCTTCATTTTAACATGAGTCTATTTTGGTTCTGAACAGCAGCTGTAACATAAGACCAAGCTGACATTAAAACATAGCATACAGTGCTGGAGTAAGACATAAGTCCTTTATCCACAAATATACGTTACATGGGCTTTTGTTAATATATATATATGTAACATGTATGTGGATAAAGTTTATATACAAAGAAATTTAAAACTAAAATGGAGTACACAACATTTGATTTAAATGAGGGCACCTCTATAAGTGAAGCTACTCACTACAGTTCAATCAGAATTTCTTCAATTCTACTTGAATTATTTATTTTCAATCTTATCTGGGAATCATCTAAGAACAGTTAGCCAATCCTAAAGCCAGGCAACCTGATGGCTAGAGGCCTGCAACAGGAAATTATGGTAAACAGATTTGAAATATAATATCCAGAGGTAAAAACACTGGCTATAATGATACTTACTTCTCTAAGAGGGTCTGTGCTTTGAAAAAAGCTGTTCATGCAACTAAAAATGTAAGCTAAAAACATACAATACAATTTAATATTATATGCAAACTTATTCATCCTATATAATTAAAATTTCAATATATTAAATATTTAATGCAATTAAATATTATAATTTTAATATAATTAAACATTTTTTTTTGAAAAATTTCAACCTTAGAGATGATTTTGTGTTATTCCTTAATCTGCATTTTCTCTTGGTTCAGGGAAACAATCAGAGCTTCACAAGAGAAATACTCTGAATGCAGGAGGACACTAAGTAACACTGCTGACCTCAGGACTAAAGGTGGCCAGCTTGTCAACAGGAATAACAGGAATGAGGTGCAACCGGCAAAACGTTAAGGTCAGCATCCCAGGGCACTGCTACTCAACTATGGTCAGCACAGAATTCTGCAGCTAGGAGAGACCGTGACAAACAAATATGACTTTCTTAAAGAAGGGCATGGTCACAGAGCTGAACGAATGACAACCGAGACCTCTAGACATGCTTTCCCTGGGCTGAAACCCCTGCTGTCACTGCAGAGATCAAGCACTGTAGCAGGAAATGACATGACATACTTGTATGACACTCTGTATACTAAATACTGGACAACCCATTTCATTACCTAGACTTAATTGTTAAACCACTTAAATAATCACAGTTCGTTTAGACACTGGATTCCTACTAAAACTGGTTTGCATTTTGAGATGAGAACCTTGCCCAGCAGTCACTCAGTACTATGTATAAAAATACGGATACTACTAGAAATATAAAACACAAGGTTATCCAGAGTGCACATATGGCTGTGCTGTCAACTACATAGTCTCAGAAAAGTGAGTAAATGACAGAGGTCAGAGTTCAGAAATCTTAAAAATTCGATCCATTCAGGGAGCCATGAAATATAATATGCTTGAGGCAATAACAAAGCTGGTGCTTGAAAACACATTTTCCAGAGGTAGACAAAGATAGAAAAAAAGTCATTTTCTAAAGATCAACTTGCTTGGGTTAGAATCAGGTTTCTTCATCTCCCATGCTAAATGAAGACCTAAATCCACAAGCAGGATGTGAACAATGTTAAAGAAAGAATCTTGAGGGGAAAACAGATAACTTGGGATAAGAGAGAAGTCTGTGCCAGGTAGAGGAATAGAAAAGTGGTTCTGATGATTCTGGCTGCTTCACAAGTATTAATATCTTATGTCAGAGGTACTATACTGAAGACCAAAAATATATTTATCAGGTATTATTAATTTAAAAAGTTCTTATTTAGAAGCACATTTAATCAATTCTTCCTCCACCACCACTGAAACAAACTAAGAATTTCAGGTTTACAAGAAAAAGACAATGCCAGTCTTCCTAATCTCCCCTTTTTATTCCTTTGATATTTCACACGACAGATTTTTTGTGTTGACCTCGAACTGATCCTTCTTCTTGGATCAGAAATGTAAGAAACAGCCAACACATTCCTTTTCCTTCTGACTTCCTGACTTACACCCATACATACAGGAGCCAGGTCAATGCCCTACACACTATCTCATTCAGTAACACCTAGTCACATGTCCTGCTTGCATAATACAAAGCTTTGAATAACAACCCATTCCTTATTTCTTCACTACCAAAATCCAAAGAAGGTACAAATTATTAAATCAACATCTAAAACCTAAGCAAGTATCTGAAAAGCTAAACTAAGTGTTGGTTAATGACCATTTATCTGTGCAATCATTAATACAAATTCAACTTTATATAGAATGCCTGAAAGTAGTCATAGAAGTTATCAAATTACATACTGGTAGCAGATTTTGTTTTTTATCAGAATCTTCACAAGGATCACATTTAGAAACATAAAATGATTATAGAACCTATAGAAAAAGGAGAGGTGTATGTATAGATACCATGGGAAAATGTAAATGAATGTGTCTGGTGGAATTATGGTTATAAAAATGTAATGTTATCAAGTAATAAACAATGTCTGAAAGCTTTTAAAATCTACTGTTGCCTCCCTACAAGATGAGCAAATACATACACAATTAGGTGTATACATGTTGATTTTTTAAACTTCATCCATAACAGCAAATTTCAAGAATGCTGCTATCCAGCAAATATTAGGATTCTAGATTGTGTACTGGATCAGGGAATTTCATGGAACTCATAACGGGTTCAAGTTAAGTTGACTGAAAATGGAATGATGATTTTTTTCTTTTCTTTCTTTTTTTTTTAATTTTTGACAGGCAGAGTGGACAGTGAGAGAGAGAGACAGAGAGAAAGGTCTTCCTTTACCGTTGGTTCACCCTCCAATGGCTGCCGCTGCAGCCGGTGCACCGCGCTGATCCACAGCCAGGAGCCAGGTGCTTCTCCTGGTCTCCCATGCAGGTGCAGGGCCCAAGCACTTGGGCCATCCTCCACTACACAGCCGGGCCACAGCAGAGAGCTGGCCTGGAAGAGGGGCAACCGGGACAGAATCCGGCGCCCCGACCAGGACTAGAACCCGGTGTGCTGGAGCTACAAGGCTCAATAGGAATGATGATTTTTATTCATAAACCTGATGTTCACTGTGTTCTCCCACATTGTCATAAAAGATAAACAAAATCCAGAACCACATATTATTTATCCCTATTCTTCGTCTCCTGTCTTTACCACCTTATAAAAGATAAAACCACTACTCAATTTCCAGGGAATGGGGTAAAGATCTATGTAAAATTAATATGTTTTTAAAATGTACTTGAAAGACACAAAGATAGAGAGAGTGAGAGAGAGCAAGATTGAAAGATTATCTTTCATCTGCCTCTGCTTCACTTCCCAAATGCCAACAAACAGCCAGGGCTGGGCAAGCCAAAGCCAGAAGCCCAGAATTCAACCTGGGTCTCCCACCTGGGTGGCAGGGACCCAAGTACTTTAGCCATCACCTGCTGCCTACCAGGGAATGCATTGGCAGGAAGCTGGAATCAGGAACGGAGCCAGGACTCGACCTCAGGCAGTAGCATATCAACTACTACCCCAAATACTCATCCTTGAAATTACATTTTAAAACATCATCAGAAAACATTAGAAAAACATCAGAAGTTTTCTATATTCTTAGATTAACATACTAGTTTCTCCTGACAGTTACTACAAACTACATTTAAAGAGACTTCAGTAGCTTGCAAAGAAAAGGTTTGAAATTTCCATCAAAATGTTAACAGTAGTTCTCCCTAGGTGAGAGGCTTTCTACTTTCTTCTTGGTGCCCTGTGAAACTGTTTATTAGAGTAAGTTTTTCTTTTTGACAAGCTATCATGCTATCTCTTCTGGTCCACCAGCTTCGATCCGTAGCCCCACCCATCCCTCATGCTCCAGGTTTCCACTGTTTGCCCTTCCTGGTCCTCCCCTCTAGCTGCACTCATTTGTTAATACTTGTCTTGATCATTAGGACTAAAATGCCCTAAGTAGAGCCACATAAATTAAAGTGGCACAAAACTTGTAAGGTATGAAGACCAGATCTTAGGCTTCTTTTATTAATGTTGTCTAAAAAATAACCAACATACATTAAAAAAAATCTTAAGTAGCAAAGTCTTCAAATCAGTAAGTGAATTCTGACATTTCAGAGTTTCTTTCAGAAACAGCAACTTCTTATTAAAAGCCAACATCTATTAAGATGTGAAAATAATTGCCCTTATGACAAGTTCTATCTTATCAATTTATCTGCTAATATTAAAGCACTCAGGATGAACTATTCGGTGACAGCACATGTCATTTTACTATACAATTAAAGTTTTCTATGATTAAATTCAGACTTTTCACTTATCTTTCCATGTGAACCTGTTTCCTAAGTGCTCTTCTGTATGGGTGTTCATATTAAGGGTTATGGTGGCTTCATGCAATGAGCCTGGTAGCTGCAATTTATACAGATTCCATAAATCAACATTTATATGTTGTTGGTTTAGTCACGAAAGTCCAGTGATATTTTTTTTTTTTTTTTTGACAAGCAGAGTGGACAGTGAGAGTGAGAGTGAGAGAGAGAAAGGTCTTCCTTTTGCTGTTGGTTCACTCTCCAATGGCCGCTGCGGCCAGTGCACCGCGCTGATCCGAAGCCAGGAGCCAGGTGCTTCTCCTGGTCTCCCATGGGGTGCAGAGCCCAAGCACTTGGGCCATCCTCCACTGCACTCCCTGGCCACAGCAGAGAGCTGGCCTGCAAGAGGGGCAACTGGGACAGAAGCCGGTGCCCCGACCGGGACTAGAATCCGCTGTGCCGGAGCTGCAAGGCGGAGGATTAGCCTAGTGAGCCGCGGCGCTGGCGATATTTACTTCTTATTTTCGTTTTTCTTTTCTAGCTCGATAAAGAGCCTTAGCTCTAGAATAGCTGACCATAGGTATAAACTATTCTTAGTTCTTTGCACACTGAGGTCATTTCCTATTTTGTTACTCAATATGTGTGCCATTCCTCTAGTTTCATTTTCTCATCAAGTATTGATAAAAATGTAGTAAAGGACAGAGGGGAGACCCTTATAGTAGGTCACCAGAGACACCCTCAAGATCACAACTACTCAGCAGTAAGCATCATTATGCACAAACCTTTCAAACTGGTGTGAATCTAACAATGTATTTACAACCCACATTTTTCTAGTATATATTCTGAAGAGTATCATTAGAGTAAGACCTAGACAACACCATATCTAAGTATTCATTCCTTTGATTTTTCCATACTCCAGTAAACATTCAAAATCATATTTTCATTTTTCATCATTCATGCCAGAAAAGAAACTCACTTGAAACACTTTCCTCATTTTCTCTTCCATAAAAATAAAATTTCATTCTAAGTAAGTAGGCAAAAGAAAATATATGCCTTTACCATGACATCTAAGTAATTTCTGGAAATGCATGTATTTTAACAGTGAAGAGGGAAGCTGAGACATAAAAGTTACAAAGAACTGTTTATAACTCTCTCTCCCTCTCTGTAACTCTGCCTCTCAAAAATACAAACAAACAAACAAAAACAAAAATCAAGAGAGTGAGTGTTCACCCTAATAATTAAAACACACATGCCCCAGCTCTGGCTCCTGACTCTAGCCTCCTGCTAATGCAGATGCTGAGAGGCAGCAGTGGTACCTAAAGTAACTGGGTGCCTGCCACCAACATGGGAGACTCCCAGCTCCTAGCTTTGGCATTGGACCAACCCCAGCCGTTGCAGGTGTTTGGACTGTGAACCAGCATATGGACACTCTAATTTAAAAAGAAAACAAAATGTATACTGAGAATATAATTCCATATATATAAAAATATATAAAAATGCTAGAAGAGGAAAATTTGTAGAGACAAAAAGAACATTAATGGTCATCTAGATTTCAAATGTAAATGAGAATAAACTACAAAAAAACATTACAGGAGTTGAAATACTTATGGCCAGCATTGTGGCCTAGTGGGTAAAGCTGCTGCCTGCAGTGTCTGCATCTCATATGGGTGCTGGTTCAAGTCTTGGCTGCTCCACTTCTGATCCAGCTCTCTGCTATGGCCTCGGGAAGCAGAAGATGGCCCAGGTCCTTGGGCCCCTGCACATGGGAGACCATGAAGAATGCCTGACTCTGGATCAGCCTAGCACCAGCTGTTGCAGCCACTTGGGGAGTCAATCAGCGGATGGAAGATCTCTCTCTCTCTCTCCTTCCCTCCCTCTCTCTGTAATTCTGCTTTTTAAATGAGTAAATCTTAACAAAACAAAACACCTCGGCTGGTGTTGCAGTTCACTAGGCTAATCCTCCGCCTGTGGCCCGGCACTCCAGGTTCTAGTCCTGGTTGCTCCTCTTCCACTCCAGCTCTCTGTTGTGACCCACCCTGGGAAGGCAGTGGAGGATGTCCCAAGTGCTTGGGCCCTGCACCCTCATGAGAGATCAGAAGGAAACACCTGGCTCCTGGCTTCGGATGGCCGCAGGGCACCGGCTGCAGGCCATTTGGGGAATTGAACCAATGGAAGGAAGACCTTTCTGTCTCTCTTTCTCTAACTCTGCCTGTCAAAAAAATAAATAAAATTAAAAACTAAAAAACCAAAAAAACCTGAATGGTTACAGGTACAACTCCATGAATTTAATGAAATCAGAGAATATAATTAAGCATTATATACTTAAGATGGGTAAATTTTGTAATGTAAATTGTACTTCAAAAAAACCATTAAGAAAAAAAAGTGGATTGACAGACCAAAGAGATGAGACTACCAAGTTTGAAAACATGCATTCATGAACTATCAAATTAAAATCCTGTTACTTTCTCACTTGCTCCAAAATCTCCCTTTAAGAAGTACCTGTTGTTAAATAGGAATGAATGCTCCAAGATGACTCATAAAGAATACATGCTAGAATGTATTGCTTTCCCATATCCTCGAGAGTGAGGAGGGAAGGGAATCAATTCTCACTGAAAAACTAGCATGTGCCTAACATTGAAGCTAAGTTGTTCTATTTCAGTGAAACTTGACAATAATTCTATGAGGCAGCCATTCTATAGAACAAAGGAGGCACAAACATTTCATTCAGTATGACAGAACAGGTAAATAACAGTGCCAGAATCAGAAATCCACAGTTAGGTTTCCAATTCCACGATCCATTACTCCAGACTTTGTTATGGTGGTCAGAGTCTCCAAATTTCCTTACAAACAGGTTTCAGAAAATAACAAAAAGTATCAAGTATGCAATAAAACCTCAAGATCTCACTGCTTGAAGATGTAATATTTTCTTCATCAAAATTTGCTTTAATATAAATAATCTGCTTACTTGAATATATTACCAGTGAACAATGGCAAATTACAACAGCCTCCTTCAGCTACTCAGCTTCTCTAAGAGACATGCACAAACTCACCCCAGGAACCATTAGTTGCAAGTGCAATGAACAATGGAGAACTATAAATTAACAAACCCTTTGGTTGGGCTGCTTTGTGTTTCTGACATAAAGATGCATTTCCTTTTGGCAGGAGGGTCTTCCTCTTCATCAGAAGAACTTTCTATTGTTAGGTCAATAACATCCACTTTCTTTTTGCTTGCCTCACTGGCTACAGTCACTGCACAAGGCTTACTGAGGACACCTAAACCTGCACGTAGTAAAAGGAAGGAAAAACAACATTAAAGGTCTGACACCAACTCAGTTGTTAACTCAGTCTTAACTGTCAAGTACACCCAGGACAATGCATAGCAGTGAATCCACATACTCTGCCCCTAACTCCAGGGATATCAATAAAAGCACTGCTTCCCTGGGGAGACAGGATGAGTGCTGCGCCTTGACAGCACACTTGAAATTGCGTGTGCAGATCCTGCTGCACCATCAGCTTCCCAGGTGAGCAGTCATTTCAGACAGAAACCTGCAGTTAAGAGACTTGGTCTCAGGCCACAGGACAAGAGCATGTGGTTTTACCAGATGTGTATCCTCATAGACATTAAGTCAGAATTAGATATTTCCATTCTTGCAATCATGCTAATATTAAAGTCTGTATTAGACTACCCATCAAAACTTGATAAAAAATCAATTTTACCTTGATCAGCTGAAAATCCCCACAAACTTCCAATTTAGGTTATTCAGACATTTAAAGCTTCTTGAAATTAATTATCTACTAATCATTTAGATTTTTTTCTCAGCATTGCCTCACACAACAGATGTCCACTCTTTTCATACAAAGGTATATTATTCCCTATAATCTACTTAGTTGAAAATAAATGCTGGCAGATACTGAAAAACCAGCAGCAACCAATCAAATTGCTCCCCATTTTTCTCAAAGATTAGAGAAACCTTGGTCATTATACTTAGGTTCAGTGTCAATTACAAGGGAGTAATTAATATTGGTATATGTCTTTATTTTTTTCCCCATTTCTCCTTACCCTGAAAAATTTAATCATTACTTTTTTTCTTAGAACTTCAAATACAGTCAGAATAAAATTCAAATGCAGTGAATAGACTGCATTAGATAAAAAGGAACTTTAATTACACCTACAAGTTTCAGTTACTCAAGCTGTATTTAGTTTCCCTACTCAGTGTAGGCAGGTGCAGGGAGCTCAGTGGAAGGCTAAATATAAATATTCTGGGGGCCAGTGCTGCGGCATGGTTGGTAAAGCCGTCACCTGCAGCGCCAGCACCCCATATGGGCACAGGTTCTGCTCCACTTCCAACCCAGCTCTCTGTTATGGCCTGGGAAAGCAGTGGAGGATGACTGAAGTCCTTAGGCCCTTGCACCTGCATAGAAGACCTGGAAGAAGCTCCTGGTTTCTAGCTTTGGATCAGCCCAGTTCCAGCCATTATGGTCACTTGGGGATTGAACCAGCAGATGGAAAACCTCTCTCTGTCTGCCTCTGCCTCTCAAATAAATAAATCTTTAAAAAGTATAAATATTCTAGGTAAACAAACGATGACCAGATTCCTTTCCACAAAGAAATGGAAGAAAAACAATTTGTTCACCTGTGACCACTGCCCCTCCCTGTTCATTAACCAAACATGCAACTTCTCTAACCACAAACAATTTAAAAAAAAACGAAAATGTCACTTATGTTTTATTTTGTAATATACTTCATTTGGTAAAATGATTTAGATGACTGCTTCATTCATTTTACATATTACAAGTATATTATAAAAGGCTGTAGGATGGTAGAACACTTAGCATGTATCTGAGGAAGGTGTCTGGCCTAATGTTGAAGATACTGCTTGGGTCACCTGTACCCCATATCAGACACAGTGCCTACGCTGGGGTCTTGATTACGCTCCCAAATCGTTTCCTGCTAATGCGCATTCTGGAAGACATCAAAGGATGGCTCAAGCTGTTGGGTCTTTGTCACCCAACTGGACCCCTGAACTAAGTTCCCTGTTCCTGGTTTCAACCCTGCCTGAGTCACTGAGGTCATTTCGGGGAGTGAACCACAGGATGGGAGCTCTCTCTCTGTTCCTCTGCCTCCTAAATAAAAAGAAATACATTTTATGACATTTCTTAAGGAAAAAATAAAAATCACTAAGGAGGACGGCAATGTATACTTGACAGATGATCCAAAGCTGAAGCAAGCAAACTGAACTCTACTGATAGTGCTAGTGGTCAAGGTTAACAATAAACATAATGCTGCCCAATCTCATTGCTTTGCTTTCCACTGCCATTCTGCACATACTTTCTATTTTTGTACACGGTTGGCTGGATACTTTCATAGCTTCTTTCTTCGGTCTCATTGGACACCAAGAGCCATCTTCTTGGAATTTGATTTCATCCACATCAGAACAATCATTGAGAATTTCCATAAAAAGCCTATAAACCAATTAAGATGTACATACGTGCAATCAATATCTTTGTTCAAAAGCAAAATAAGAAAGCAATACATGGTGGAGGCAAAAATAATGATACCTTTTTTTTTTTTTTTGATATTTCAGTATTTCACATCTTATAAGTAGTATACCCCAACCCTGCTTCCCACCTAAGGGCAGTACAGAGTTAAGTGGCTTACAGAGATCACTCAAAATTTCAGTAGCCGAACAGAAACAAATAAAAAGAAAATAGCTATTTCTTTCTTGGAACAGATCAATAAAAGACAAGCTGCTGGCAGACTTACTTAAATCCACTTGAAAAGCAATAGATAAGCTGAAGAGCCCCATGTCTATCAAAGATACTGCTTCTGTAGTTAAAAAATCTAACTGTAAAGAAAATTCCATGCCTCATATCTTGACCAAGGAACTTTACCAAATGTTCAAGGAGAAATATTACTACTTTCCAACTCATTTTATAAGGACAGCATTATTACAGATGAAAACCAGACAAGGACATTATAAGAAAGCTTTGCAAAACAAAAAAAGGTAACACCACAATCAGGTGGGATTTATTCTTAGAATGCAAGGTTAGTTTAATATCTGAAACTCCATCATCACAGTACATCAAAATAATGGATCAGGAAGTGCAAAAAGGCAAGACAAAGACATCAATTAGAAAATCCTATAAGAGCAATGTACAAAACTCAATTATAGTTCTATTTACTAACAACCAGATATTTAAAAAAACATAATAATGTAACACTTAGCGATAAATCTGACAAAAGACCTACAAAATACACTGAAAACTATAAAACATTATCAAGACTTGATTAAATAAATATAACATGTTCATGGATCAGGAGACTCAACACTGAGTCTACAGAGTCAACACAATACAAATCAAAATGCCAGCAATTACTTTTTCTGACAAACTGAATTTTTTTCCCCAAGTTTATTTATCTGAAAGGAAGAGAGACAGGCAGAAACAAGACAGACAGGCAAGCTGGGAGAGATCTTCCAACTACTGTTTTACTTCCCAAATGCCCACACCAGCTGGGGCTGGGTCAGGCTGAGGCCAGCAATCTTCAGCTCCACCCAAGTCTTTCACATGAGTGGCAGGGACCTAAGTACCCGAGACATCACCTGCTGCATTAGCAGAAAACTAGTATTGAAGTGGTGCAGGGACTCAAACTCCAGCACTCCAATATGAGATAGGCATCTTAAGTGCTGTGGCAAAAGATAACCCTAGCAAACTGATTCTAAAGTTTGTAAAGAAATACAGGAAAAGAATAGTTATAAGACTCAGATTACTTGGTTTCCAGAGAGTGAAGTATTGCAATAAATAGAACAGAATACACAAGACAGATTCACATTTATATATGGTCAACTGATTTCTGAAAACAATTCAATAAGGAAAAATCAATATTCTTAATAAATGATGACAAAACAATCTCAAGGCCATAAAGCAAAAGAAATAATAATAAGCCTTGGTCTTTATCTTATATCATGCATAAAAATTGATTTGATATGGGCCGGCAACGCGGCTCACTAGACTAATCCTCCACCTGCAGCACCGGCACCCCGGGTTCTAGTCCCAGTTGCTCCTCTTCCAGTCCAGCTCTCTGCTGTGGCCCGGGAAGGCAGTGGAGGATGGCCCAAGTGCTTGGGCCCTGCACCCACATGGGAGGCCAGGAGGAGGCACCTGGCTCCTGGCTTCGGATCGGTGCAGTGCACTGGCATAGCAGCCATTTGAGGAGTAAACCAATGCAAGGAAGACCTTTCTCTCTCTCTCTCTCTCTCTCTCTCTCACTGTCTAACTCTGCCTGTCAAAAAAAAAAAAAAATTAACTTGATATGAATGACAGACCTAAATGTAAAAAGTAAATTATAAAACCCTTAAGCAAAAGCAAAGAGAAAATCTTTGTGACTTTGAGTTAGGGGAAAATGTCTTCAAGCACAATTCATTAAAAAAAAAAAAAAAAACTTGATAAATTGGTCTTCATTCAAATTAAGCACTTCTGCTACATGAAAGACACTGTTAAGTGACTGAAAAATTTAACAGCAGGAAATATTTGCAAAGCATGTACCTGATTTATATCCAGAATATACAAAAAAATCAAAATTCAGTAATATGAAAACTGACAACACAGTGTAAAAACTGGCAGAAGTCTGACAGGCAGTTTAACAAAGACACCAAAAAGATGGAGAACACACACATAAAAAGAGATGCTAGATACAATCAATAATAAGTGATATACAAATATATCCACCAGAAATATCACCAGCAAGTCAAACTGTAAAAAGACTAACCACACTGAATGTTCATGACAACATGGAGCAACTTTTAACTCCCAAATACTGCTAGTGGGAATAGATAATGGGACAACTATTTTGGAAAACACTTTTGCAAATTCTTAAAAAGTTGAGTATACACATGGCATGTGGCCATGCATTCCATTTGGACTTGAGCGTGAATATTTCACAGTAGCTCTATCTTTAACAACCCCAATCCAGAATCAACCCATCAATATGTAAACTGATAAACTACAGTATATCTAGGCAGTGGAGCACAACTCACAACAAAATGAACTACACATATATACATTGATATATTGATACATACACACATACAGAAAAAGAATCTCAAGTAACTATGCTGAAGAAAAAAAATCAGACAAAAGAAGTATACACTTTATGATTCCATTCATATAAAATTCTAAGAAAAACTTATCTACAGAAATTGTATATATTACTTACGTACAATTCTTAAACCTCAACAAATCTGATAAAGTAAGAAGGAAATAAATATCTCCTTCCTGAGAAGATGCTTATTCCAATTATACTGAAAACACAGCATAACTCTGATCAAAATAAACCCAACAGGAGCATTTTATGTAATTTGAGAAAACATTTATTCAAGAGAAAATGGTAGAGTATTTCATACTAATCAAGAAAGTTCCATAAAAAAATGGCATAAAAATAACTGACACATCATAGAGCTAAATGATCAAAACAGTTTTGCAACAGCCCCCTAACACACTGATCAATGGAATACAGTTCATAAATTAAAACTCATATATGTAAGACACAGGCAGTTATTGTAAGTCCATGGGAGAGATTACTCGATACGTTATGAGACTACTAACTTGCAAGCTGGAGGGTAGAATGGGGTGATCTCCACCTTAACATAATCATCTACTCCCTATCCTTGAGTTTCTTGCCCATCCCCAACTGTCTTCACAGAAAGCTGTTCTTTACTTTCTTTAGCAACTTAAAATACAATTTTTTACTGTCTCCCAAACCAGAAGTGTTCTGTTCACCATTAAAGACCCTGTATCTGACTCAAAACAGGTATTCAATAAGCATGGTATAGAATGAATTCATGAGGGAATGAGTAAGGAAAAAAAAAAAACACACAAAATGCATTTGACAAAAAACAAGTGAATGTCTAACTATAAACTCTAAGACTTTCCAAATACATCTGGCAGAATCCAAAAAGTAAAGACAAACTTGATAAAACAAAAATGTAAGGCTTATAAATAAAAAGGCATAATAAATATAAATAAAATGCAAACTAGAAAAATTCATTTGGCACTTGTGGTTAAACTAATATCCTCAGTATATATTGCTGATGATTTATAAATCACTAAGAAAAAGATGAACAACTCAAAAGATAAACAGGAAAAGGTGAGAGAAAAAGACATTAATAGGCAATTTGTAAAAGATAATAAAAAATGTATAAAGAAATATCCATAATTCTTATAATACAAGCAGCAGAAATTAAACCAATGAGCTATTTTTTTCAATCAGAAAATAGGCATACATTTAAAAATAAGATTTAATACAGTTATATAAGGCTGATAAAAGTTGAAAAGTGGACAAAAGCTACTGGAGAAAATATTTACTACAGAGAGTAAAATAATTCACTCCTTCTGTGATGCATTTCAATCATAAAATGGAATCTTAAAGTTTACATATTCTTTGATTCAGCATTTCTAAGAACTTAAAGAAAATTCCACACACAAAACATCACCTTCAAAGATGTTCATATCACAAATCAACTTAAATAGAAAAAACAGAAATCAGTAATAAAGAATTTCAGGAATTTAGGAAATACATCCTCAAAATACTAATGGCAAAGAGACATAATATATGCAATTCTCAAATGGTCTGAAAGAATTCTACAAGTAGTAATAATTAATCTCCTTTTTGCTATACACACTCCAAGCACACGCTAAAAATAAATATATATCTCTATAGCGAGAGAACATGCTAAAGCAACTATGGCAGAATGTTAACTGACACATCAGTTACACAGCTTTCTGTGCTACTGTTGTACTTCTAAGTCTGAAACTACTTCAAGTTAAGCTAAAAAATATTACATAAAAACCCAGAAAAAAATTTACGAAGGTGAAAATCCCCTTCATTCAATGCTCTGTTCTTTTCCACATAAATTTTTTTAAAGATTTATTTATTTGAAAGGTAGCATCTCTTGCGTGCGCGTGTGTGCACGCGCGCGCACACACACACACACACACACAGAGGGAGGAGAGGGGAGGGGACAGAGAGACCTCCATCTGCTGGTTCACTCCCCACACAGCCGCAAGGGCAGGGGCTGGGCTGAACTGAAGCAGGAGCCAGGAGCTTCATCCTGATCTCCCACGTGGGTGCAGGGGCCCAAGCACTTGGCCATCTTCTGCTGATCTCCCAGGCACATTAGCAGGGAGCTGGTTCGGAAGTGGAGCAGATGGGACTCAAATTGCTGCCCATATGGGATTCCAGTGCTGCTGCTGGTGGCTTTACCCGAGAAGCCACAATGCCAACCCTCAAACAAACTTTTGGAAAATGCACTGCAATTATCTTTAAATATATTTTTCACTGCACACTGACTGAAAATCATACATATATACAAGTCATTATGTAAAGTGGTATTTCAATCTTTGTAACACATAAATAAGTTAGCACCATAGGATGGGACTCTATTGACTATTTTTAATCTTTCATAATTATATATTTTAAATCTTAGTGTTGATATACAAAAGTATTATCCAGAAAAAAAATGAGACCTCACTTATTGAAAATTAGTTCAATATCATTTTACAAATAGGTGTGACACATGCTTAAAGGTTTGGGCTCTGGAGCCATAAAACCAGGGCATGGATTCCAATTCTGAACCTACTAGTTTGAAACAAAACTACCAACCCTAACATTTCCTCTGCTTTTTGCACAGATCATCATTGCTGCTGTAAGAAGTTCTAGATAAGCAAACTTCTTCTTTTCTACAAAGCAGAAAAACCTCTTCCTTATGTGCTTTCCTAAAGCATCTTTGCAAGCAAAAATAAAATACACAACTGTCTGACTCCAGCAAAAATCACATTACGGTCAAGAACCCCTAATCTGAAAACCCAAAATCTGAAATTTTGGGGGCACTAAAGAGTACTCACAAAAGTTTGGATCTGGGTATTACATATTTTAAAAAAGCTACAAGAAAGGATTTTGAATGTTTTCATTACAAATAAATGACAAATGTTTGATGAGATGGATACTCTCACCTTGACGTGAATATTACATACAATGTATACGTGTCTGAAACACAACACGGCATCATCCCATAAAACATTTAACATTTTTATGGGGGTCGGCACTGTGGCTTCCGCTTGCGATGCCAGCATCCCATATGAGAGCTGTTTTATATCCCAGCTGCTCCTCTTCCTATCCAGCTCTCTGCTATGTTATGGCTTGGGAAAACAGCAGAAGACTGCCCAAGTGCTTGGGCCTCTGTGCCTTTGTGGGAGACCCGGAAGAAGACCCTGGTTCCTGGCTTAGGATCGGCTCAGCTCCAGCCGCTGCAGCCATTTGGGGCGTGAACCAGTGGATGGGAGACTTTTCTCTCTGCCTCTCCCTCTATCTGTAGCTCTACCTCTCAAATAAATAAATCTTAAAAAAAAAAAAAAATTTAATGTGTTAGTTAGTAAATTAAATAAAATTTAGGATTTTGGATTTTCAGATTAGGGATGCTCAACCAGCGGTTTGTCAAATACAGCAAAATTTTAAAAACTCCAAACTCTGGAACACATCTGGTCCCAAATATTTCTAACACGGGACACCTGATCTGTATGATCATAGTTTAAAAATCAGATTGTGTATAAATAAGTAGAAAACAGAAAACAAGTATCTGGACTTCATTCTAGAGCAGAATTTATATTAAGCCATACTGAATGAAGACATAGCCAACAGCCATTAAAAGGGCTATACTCACCCATCTAATATTAGACTTTCATAGGCAGCTTTTTTGTCACACACAGGACAAATCCAAGTAGGCTTCTTCTCATTCATTTGTAGATAAAGGGCAGCATCAAAACACTGCAGATGTGTACAGGTCACTGCACGGCATGGGATTGTCAGCCGCATTTTCCCTAACTACAGTACAAGGAAACATAACATGGAAAACTAGTTGGGAAAAGAGAACTAAGCCTTAAAATAACAGTTCTTAAATGTCTGAATAAGCCACAGAAATGATCAAAATGAAAAATTACAAACCAGAATTTATTCCCAAAGATTATTATATGCCCAACTTTCACCTTCTCAAAATAGGTAGCATATAAACCCACAGGTAGAAAAAGATATTTATACAATGAAAACAAGACTCCTCCTCACCAGGTCTCCAGTTTCCCTAGCACAGAGGGAGTCACTGTTATCCACCTCTTGTATGTCCTTTCATAGATGTTAGATGCATGAATCAGGTGTATATTTTTTTAAAAAGCTGCCCACAAGTGTTGGCATATAATACAACAATTCTTTTTAATTGTCATGTAACCTGGTGACTACATACTAGTACATAAAAACATATTATATAAAGGCATTGTAATTTATTTAGCCAGTATACTAGAGGCGAACAACTGAATTTTCCAACTTTTTGTAACTACAAGCAATGCTGTAATAAGAATTTACACCATGAATTCATAAACATGAAATTTCTGGGTTAAAAGTAAAGCACATGGGGCCGGTGCCATGGCTCACTAGGCTAATCCTCCACCTTGTGGCACTGGCACACCAGGTTCTAGTCCCGGTCGGGGCGCTGGATTCTGTCCCGGTTGCCCCTCTTCCAGGCCAGCTCTCTGCTGTGGCCAGGGAGTGCAGTGGAGTATGGCCCAAGTGCTTGGGCCCTGCACCCCATGGGAGACCAGGAGAAGCACCTGGCTCCTGCTATCGGATCAGTGCGGTGCGCCGGCCACAGCACACCAGCCGCAGCGGCCATTGGAGGGTGAACCAACAGCAAAAGAAAGACCTTTCTCTCTCTCTCTCTCTTTTTCTCTCTGTCCACTCTGCCCTGTGTGCTCTGATCAGCAACTTAACTAACACGAGAGAACACTTTCTTGCAAGAGATTGACTGATCTACCAACACATACATACCAATGTGCTGAGTTCCATTTGCCCTTGTCAATACACTGCTAGTGAACAGTTTGACCTTTGTGAATCCAGTACATGAAAAATACCCCATGAGAGTTGTTAACTATGCTTCCCTTATTTTAAGTCATACGCAAGACTCTCTTTTTTAAAAAAAGATATGGCAATCCGTAATTTTTTTTTCCTTAGTTTTTATTTATTTGAGAGGGAAAGAGAAAGAGGAAGAGTCAAGGCAGAAATCTCCCATCTGCTGGTTCATGTAGTAGCCAGAAGCCCAGAACTCAATCCACTGCTCCCATGTGAGTGGCAGACATAACCACTCAAGCCATCACCTCTGCCTCTCAGTGTGTGCATGAGCAGGAAGCAGAGTCATGGCCCAAGAATTCCAATATGGGACGTGGGCATCCCAAGCAGTGCGTCAGCCACTATGCCAAACACTCACCCACGCTGAGCTTCTTCGTTTATTCTAAGAGTCACCTATGTTTTTAAGAAATGTTTATTCATAAACCTTTCTAATTTTCATAGGATTATTAGGGTTATATTATCTATTTATAAGAACTTTCTAGAAAATTCAGCTTCATGTGTGACATGAACTGCAAATATCTCTCATGTTCATGAAAATGTTCTCCTTTCATATTAAAAAAAAAGCTGTCAATTTTTCAATGTATTTCTATATAACTATAGTGCTGTGCTCAATTTTATCCCAATTGATAGAGGACTATCAACATCAAGACACACACAACATCAACTTGATGACACCAAATTTTCCTGAAAAACACAATGACTCCTATCATATTATTTCCTTTAGAGAAAATATCTCCATTTATAATTAGCTGTTAATTTTTTAAGAAAAAAACTGTTGTTTTTCTTGAGAGGCAGAGTTACATGAGAGAGAGAGAGAGAGTGAGCGAGCGAGCGAGCTATCATGTATGTTCACTCCAAATGTGTCGCTCCCCCTCTTCGTGGAGGAGCAACACAGGACCCTGCGCTGTTCTTTCGTCTGCTCGGCCCTCCCCGGGTTTGCTGCTGGTTCTTCCCGGGTTGGCTACTATCCCTTCCACCTCCGTGGAAGGGCAGTTCCCCCTGGCCGCATTCCCCACTTCCGCAGGGGAGCGGCACACCGCCGGCCGGTTCTCTCGGGGGCTGCACAGGTGTTCCTTCAGCTAGATGTTCCCCATAGATGTTCCTGGTGCATGCCGTCTCTCTCCTCCTTTATAGTCCTTCTCTGCCAATCCCAACTCGGCTGCCCACACGCCGAGTACGCTGCTCTCCAATCAGGAGCAAGTCCTACAGTTAATTGGTTGAACTGGAGGCAGCTGTGCGGAAGCTGTTTACTTCTCTCCCAGCGCCATATTGTGGGAGAGCAGATGCATAGAATAAGTCCTAATTCGAGTAACAGTCTAGTCCGGATTGCTCCCCACAGATCCCCCTTTCTTTTTATTTTTTAGCGTTGATACGCGCCTGTCTTCGGTGTCCCGCGGCACACACTCTGCTCTACTTGCTAGAGTTGTCACAGGCTCTTACAAGTCCTATCAGGCAAACCGAATCCGGGTCCTCTCTTCGCCATGTTGTGAGGAGGTTTTTAGGCGCTGATGCGTGCCTGTGTTCGGTGCCCTGCAGCGCATGCTCTGCTCTGCCTGCAGGGGACTTACAAGACCTATCAGGCAAACCGAATCCAAGCCTTCTCATTGCCTTATTGTGGGGGAGACTTATTAGTGTTGGTTCGTGCCTATCTTCGGTGACCTGCAGCTCATACTCTGGTCGAGCTTTGCTGGCGCTTACCGCCTTAAATCAGGCAGACCGAATCCAAGCCTCCTAATTGTTGCATTGTGGGGAAGCTTTACTGATGTTAATTCGTGCCTGTCTTCGGTGACCCGCGGCTAGCCGCCCAGGTGCTCACCGCCTCACCAATCGGGCAGACCGAATCCAAGCCTTCTAATTGGCATGTTGAGGGGAGGCCTTATTTCTCTCCATTTCTCTATCTCCGGGCATTCCTACCTCTCCCATTTCACTTCTATCTTCCAGCATTCCCATTTCTCTCACTTTACTTCTAAAACTTCTGTTTCTCTTATCCCTGCGGCTTCCCGGTGCCTCGCCCTGCCGGCAGCTTCACGGCTCCGCGCGGCTTCCCGGCGCCTCGCCCCGCCGGCGGGCTCCGCCCCGAGGCTGCTTCTCGGCGGCTCGCCCCGCGGCAGCTTCACGGCTCTGCGCGGCTTCCCGGCACCTCGCCCCGCCGGCGGGTTCCCGGCTCTGCGCGCACGCTCCGCGGTCTCCACGCACTTCGCGCCCGCACCACGGCCTCGCGCGCCAGCCCCGCGTTCTCTATCTATTCACGCCCCGTGCTCTCTCTGCACGCGGCGGCTTCCGCGAATGTTTCCGCCACCACCGGCATTCAGTCCAAGTTCCCCGGACTAACCTGGCGAATTTCAACCTGGCGGCCCACGTCTCTGCCTCTGGTTCCAGATCTTCGCCTCTTGCTCCCCGGGGTGACTTGAAGAATTCCAAGGTGGCTTATATCTCCGCCTCGGCCTGCACTCGCGGCTTCATCCTCCCTAACATTTTTCTCTACCCGGTATGTTTCCTTAAGTTTTCTTCCAACAATATTCCTCTCATTTCTCCTGGCTTCTCCCCACAGTCCGTATCCGAGTCCAAGTTTCTTCTAGGTTTCACTTTTCACTTTCAACCTGCAGTCCGTATCTAAGTCTAAGTTTCTTCTTGCTTTCACTTTAAATCCTAACTTCTTTCCCACAGTCCATATCCGAGTCTATGCCTAGGCTTTCAATAGCTTCTTCCGGCACTTAGGCTCTTTGCTAGTCTCTCTCTCCGGTATTTTCCTGCTTCTTCCCGTTTCTTCCCTCCTAAGTTTCCTATCCGTCCTAGGTTTCCTATCCGTTCCAGGTTTCCTATCCGAGCTAGGTTTCCTATCCGAGTCACGGCACCATTATGTCGCTCCCCCTCTTCGTGGAGGAGCGACACAGGACCCTGCGCTGTTCTTTCGTCTGCTCGGCCCTCCCCGGGTTTGCTGCTGGTTCTTCCCGGGTTGGCTACTATCCCTTCCACCTCCGTGGAAGGGCAGTTCCCCCTGGCCGCATTCCCCACTTCCGCAGGGGAGCGGCACACCGCCGGCCGGTTCTCTCGGGGGCTGCACAGGTGTTCCTTCAGCTAGATGTTCCCCATAGATGTTCCTGGTGCATGCCGTCTCTCTCCTCCTTTATAGTCCTTCTCTGCCAATCCCAACTCGGCTGCCCACACGCCGAGTACGCTGCTCTCCAATCAGGAGCAAGTCCTACAGTTAATTGGTTGAACTGGAGGCAGCTGTGCGGAAGCTGTTTACTTCTCTCCCAGCGCCATATTGTGGGAGAGCAGATGCATAGAATAAGTCCTAATTCGAGTAACAGTCTAGTCCGGATTGCTCCCCACACAAATGCCCCTATCAACAAAGGCTGGGCTGAACAAGGCCAAAACCAGGAGATAGGAAGCCAATTCAGTTGTGGGCAGCAGGGGTCACACCAAAGCTGTCACATACTGCCTCCTAGGCTACACATTAGCAGGAAGCTGGAATTGTGAGCAGTCAGGATACAAACCCACTCACATGTAGGATATGGTGTCCCAACAAGAACCTTAATCACTATGCCAAATGCTTGCCCTCAGCTTATTTTTATTAAAAATTTGCTTTTCCCACTAGACTTTAAGCTTCACTAGGACAGGGTCTAGCTGTTTCTCACTGTCCTAGCAAACTACTAGCTCAGTATTTGTTGATCAGATGGTACAGTGAATGAAGACAGATTGAACAGGAAGCAAGGTGTAGTGAAGGAGGAGCTTTAAATGCATTGTAAGGTCTAAGAACTCACAGCAAAGCTGTCACATTCTGGGATTGGCACTGTGGTAGAGGTTAGGTCTCCACTTACCTCCGATCAAGCTCCCAGCTAATACACCTGAAAAAGCAGTGGAGGCTGGCCCAAGTATCTGGGCCCCTACATCTCTGTGCAAGACCAGGAAGAAGCTCCTGGCTT